GGCCAATACATGTACTGTTTTCCCTGGACAGAGTCATCATGGACATCAAGCCTATGAACCGATTCACTAAATGATTAGGCAAGAGAATCAGATGGACCATTGCCAACACCATCTGCCCCACACGAGATCTCCGTGAACTGGACTTTGAGACTGCCCAGGGTGGACCAGTTCTGCAGGCCTGAGATGAGGGTTGATTCTTATTCCCCTGGAACGGCCACCTCAGCTGTGCCGATGGGTCCCTTGGCCTGTGTCCTCGTCACACTCCCTTCCCCTCCACTGGGATCTTCACCTTGGAATCTTGGCGGAGCCTCAGAGAGTCAGGGTGGAAATCTTGGCAGACGCCAGAAGCCATGCATCGACCCGCATGGTGAGCGCAGACTGTGTGGAGCGCATCTTTGCCCTCTCTGCTGTTTTGCTGGCACGGGCAAGCCTGGGCATGTGACTTGGCGCCATGAACCTTCTGAATTCCATAGACAGCCATGTCTCTGTGTCTGTGAGGCTTAACAGAGGTGCCCTCTCTAACCCTCCAAATCCACACTGATTGTGTGTGTATATGTGTATGCGTGCCTGTGTGTGTGTGCGTGTGCGTGTGTGTGTGTGTGTGTGTGTGTGTGTGTGTGTGTGTAGCCACGTGTGTGCAGGTGGAGGCCAGTGGAACACACTGGGTGTCTTCCTTGAATACTCTATACCTTACTGAACTCGGTGCTCTGATCGTCTCGCCCAGCTCGCCAGTGAGCTTTGGACACCCGCCTGCCTCTGCTCCTGGCATTGTGGTTACAGATATATGCCACAGGAACATTTGGCTTTTATTGGGTTCTGGGGATCCAAACTCAGTTCCTCATGCTTGCAGAGGAAGCACTTTTCCCATGGAACCATCTCTCTGCTCCAATTAAAAAGGAAACACAACGGCGTTGCTCTTCAGGACCCTCTAATTGACATAAGAAGCGAAGGGCTGGAAGGATGGCTCAATGGTTATGAGCACTGGCTGCTTAGCACCCACTTCAGGTAGCTCATAGCTACCTGCCACTCCTGCTCTAAGGGATCTGATGCCCTCTTCTGGCCTCCACAGGCACCTGCATACATGTGGCACACACACACGTGTATAAATACTTCAACATACAGATAAAGTTAAACAAGAATGAAGCTCAAGTTCAGGGAGTTTGGGAGCTGCCGCTCAGGCTGTGGGTTTGGAAGGAGACAGGGACTCTGCGAGATGAGAATTGAGCCTTAGGCTGGCTGGGCCGTCAGCTGATCCCAAGTCCCTAACGTGTCCCTTTGAATCCCTGGTTGGTGGTGACAAGAGGGCTGCCAGGCAGGAGGAGCCAATGGAAAAGTCCCAGGTGTTGTCACCTTAATGAGAGTGGCATTCCTGATTGCGTGGTTTAGGGGCTCCTGGGGGAAATGGAAAAAGAGAAAGAAAACTTCGACCCCCTCCTTTGGCCTGGGTGACAGTGTGTGGGACAGTATCCTGGTGGAGAGGCATGTCCTGGAAAAACCTGGATTTATTAGCATCAGAAATAAGGCCCCTCCTAGAGCCCCCAATCTTCCCCGCCAAAGGGACCTCCCAGCAGCCCTCTGCCCACCGGCACTCTGCTGTCTGCTGCATCCCTCCTTATGAGGCTGCAAGGACGAGCAGAAGAAAAAGTCCACAGGGCAGCAAGTCTCAGGCGAGAGAAAGAGAACTCTGAGTCACAACTGGTAGCTTAACGGTGACAGATCCATTCTCTTTGATGGCACTTGCTCGGAAATTACTGCTGCTGGAAGGGAAAACAAAGCCCTCGGCCTTCACTTGCTCCTTCCACAGCTGCTGAATGAGCCAGAGCTGGTGTTAAAGTAGGTGGCCAAATACGAGAACGAAGACGTGAGCTCTCATCTTCATGAAGAACTTGTGATGGTGAGCTAGCGGCTAGCGGCTAACGTGGGCTAGCTCGACCCGGAACAATCAGCAGAAGGTGGCATGGCCTGAGAGCCACAGGCTAGGGAGTAGTTCTTTTTTTTTTTTTTTTTGGTGGGGGTGGGAGGGTGTCCTCAGGAAAGCTCGCCAAAGGGAAGTCATGTTTGAGCTGAGCTCTGAAGGAGGCTCAGGGGCTGGCAAGATGGCTCAGCTGGTGAATTCCTTGCCACACAAACGGGAGGATCTGAGTTTGAATCCTCAGCACCCATGTGGAAGAGCCAGGTACAGAGACTCATGCCTGTAACCGCAGTCTGAGCGGGTGAAGGCAAAAGGGCTTGCTAGCCAGCTAGTCTAGACGAATCAGTGAGCTGCAGGGCCAGTGAGAGATGGCTCAGTGGTTACGGACACTTCCGGAAGACCTGGGCTCAGTTCCCAGCACCCATGTCAGATGTCTCATATGTACCTGTACCTCCAGCTCCACATCTGATGCCTTCTCCTGGACTCCATAGTCACCAATGTACGCACGCATGCACCCAACCCCCCCCCACACGCACGCACGCACGCAAACACAGTAACAGAAACGAATCTTAAAATAAAATCAGGTCACAAGAGGAAGATACCAGATCTTAATCTCTGTCCTCCAACACATACAAACATGTACACATACACAATAAACTATAATAAAAGCCAGGGCTAAGATCCTGTCTCAAAAAACAAAACAAGAGACAAAAAGGTTTTCTTTGACCTCTATATATGTTCTCTGGCATGCACAATATGCCACAAAATGCAATAAAAAACTAACAAACCCCCCAAATTTCCTTTTCATTTCATTTATTCATTGCCCCCACACCTGCTTCCCTTCTGCCTCCCCCTCCCCTTCCTGGTGTTATAATGCCCAGGGGACTATTGGGTGTTATAATGCCTGGGTGTCACTGCGTATCATAATGCCCGGGTGTCATTGGGTATTACAATGCCCAGATTGTCCCCAAACTCCTGCTGCAACCTCCCAAATGTACAAGAGCATATCTGGACACTTAAGTTTTCTTTTCTTTCTTTCTTTCTTTCTTTTTTTTTTTTTTTTTTTTTTTTTTTTTTTTTGGTTTTTCGAGACAGGGTTTCTCTGTGGCTTTGGAGGCTGTCCTGGAACTCACTTGGTAGTCCAGAGATCCGCCTGCCTCTGCCTCCTGAGTGCTGGGATTAAAGGCGTGCACCACCAACGCCCGGCTTCTTTAATTTTTTTGAGATTTTTTTAGTATTTATTTATTTTATGTATCTGGGTGTTTTGTTTGCATGCAGTGTGTGTAGAGGTCAGAAGAGGGAGTCAGACTTATAACTAAAGTTAGCCACCACATGTGGGTGATGGAATAGAACCCGGGTTCTCTGGAAGAGCAATTAGGACTTTTAACTGCTGAGTCGTCTCTCCAGCCCCAACTTTGTTTTTCTTAGAGCACACAAGTATGGCTGGCTGCAGAGTCTACTAATGTTGATGACAACAATACACTTAGCCTTTGGATGAATGCGTGTTATACAGAGTGATTCAAACCAGCCTTTCCCCAGCCTTGAGGACCAAAGTCAGTTAACTCCAGCCTGCAATGCATCAGGTGGGAATCTGCTAAAATCTAGTAAGACTTTCCTGGCCAAACAAGTCCCTCAATAGGATGGAAAAGATCTAATTCACAAGGCAGTCCAGTTTATAACCTACTGGACCTCCTGCTTATTTTTTTAAAGATTTATTTACTTATGAATATAACATCCTGCCTCCATGTATGTCTACACGCCAGAAGATGGCACCAGATCTCACTATAGAAGATTGTGAGCCACAATGTGGTTGCTGGGAATTGAACTCAGGACCTCTGGAAGAGCAGTCAGTGCTCTTAACCTCTGAGCCATCTCTCCAGCCCCTGCTTATTTTTTTAAAAACATTTCCTTATGTACTTATTTCATTATTTGCGTGCGTGCGTGCGTGCGTGCGTGCGTGCGTGTGTGTGTATGGAGATCAGAGGACAATTTGTGGGATTCTGTTTGTATTCCTTCCACAAGGTGGATTGAACTCAGGGTATTAAGGCTTGGCTGCAAGCACCTTGAACTGCACAACCACAGCCTGGGATTTACTCTCAGTGGGTTTATGTGTGGCATCTTCAATCAGCCTCAATGACTCTAAGGGAAGAGCTTCAAGGTCCATGTGTTATAACTCAAGGACAAGTCTGAGGCCCCAATTCTAAACATACTATGATTGGCTGGGTGTAGCTAAACAACAAAAATAGCCCTGCGTCTGTGGTCATCCCAGGGCTAGGACACTGTTTATAAGCAGGTCACTCAAGTTCCATCAGCAGCCATTAATAAGATCCTAACAGGATATAAATGATGACTGGCACCAACAGTGACATAAAGGGGGAGTGGCAAGGCAGAGGGCAGATTTTGGCAGGGGACAAGCCAGAGGGGGTGATGCTCTGGTTCATGCACTCTCCGCTAAGAAGAGACGCCCTCAGGAAGGTGCCTGCTATTTTGAGAGGATGGTTTCTGGGCCAACATGAGCCATCAAAGTTTTGAGGCTTGATTGAGGATTTTCTTTATGCTGAATTCCAAAGACAGAAATGAGATGCTGTCTGTGTCCTCACACAGACAGGCTGCTGAGTTCAGAAACGCCAGCGTGCTGAATGCTAAGCCCCAGGGAGCCAGATGTCAAGTGGGGTGGTGACGGAGTTGGGAGTGGCAGCAGGTGATGGGCCTGGGGACTTCAGTCTGAGACTTGCATTAAAGAACCCAGAGACGGCTGGAGAGACGATTCAGTGGTTTAAGAGTGCTTGCTGGCTGATCTCCCAGAGGACCTGGGTTCAATTTCCAGCACCCCCATGGCAGCTCACAACCATCAGTAACTATAGCCCCAGGGGATCTAATGCCCTCTTTTGGCCTATGGAGGCACTGCATGCATTTGGTGGACATTAAATTAAAAAAAAATCCATCTTAAAGAATCCAGGGAGATGTCAGGACTAAACCAAATGAACATAAAGACAGATGGAAGAGCACTAGGATAGGAAGTGCTTCCTAAATCACTGTGGAATGAATGAATGGACAGACATATAATTCTTCCATTTTGATCACTTACCTCAGACTCTTTGTAGTAGCGTTCTGGAATTTCATCACAGGCTATATCGATAAAGCACACTTCTCTTTCCAGGCCTTTGGCTTCACTGTTAAAAATCTGAAGGGACAGAGCAACACATCAAAGGTCAGCGACGAAACCCTGAAACCCTGCTGAGTGCCCAAGGCTAGGACACGATGCCTGAGGCAAGATGACGCCCTGCAGGGCATCTTCCCGGTGGCCCCAAACCCCTAGCTTTGCCTGCCGCAGAATGTGCGAGAATCATGACGGGCTTTTATTCCTCACTTAGATTTTGTCACGTCAGAGGCAGGTGTAGCATCTGTCATCACATGCTGAGGGGTAGATGAAAAAGTGGGCTGTTTTTAGAAGTTCAAGAATGAGGAAGTAAATCTTTCCCAAAAATCTCTTCCAAAAAAATTGAAGACTGCTGAGTCTTGGCAGCTCATCTGAGCAGAGGCTGGGAGGGGTTGGTGAGCTGGGGACAAGAAGCGGTGACACAGCCTGAGATTAGGAGGAGAAAAATATGTGGGCCTTTTTCGTTCATTAGAAAAAAAGCGTGTTGCATTCATTTGTTTGTGTGTGTATGCATGCCACGGTACCCACGTGGAGGTCAGAGGACAAGCCTGGGCTCTCTTCCCACCAGCTGCATCCTGGGGATCTAGGGCTCGGCACCCAGGGCCTTTACCTGGGGAGTCATCTCAGCAGCCCCTCATTAGCTTTTCCTTTTTATGGATTTAATTCACAACTACACTCTCATTGCAGAAAACAGATAATCAAAGAGAGAGAGAAAAACAACACACAAACTCTTTCCTTCGCCCAGAGTTAGACATAATTTTCTTTCTTTTTTTTTTTTAAGTCAGGGTTTCTTTGTATAACCCTGGCTGGCCTTGAACTCACAGAGATCCACCTGCCTCTGCCTCCCGAGTGCTGGGACTAAAGGGATGTGCCACCACACAGAGCATTTTGTTTTCTTTCTGGAGACAGGGTTTCACTGTTGCTTGGGCTGCCAAATGCAACCTGGAGATCCCGGTCCCCCTGCCTCCACTCCCCAGTGTTGAGATTAACGACTTGCATCACCATGCCTGGTCTTTTGAGGTCCTTAGGACTGAACCCAGGGCCTCAGGTACACCAAGCAAGCTTTCTTCCAATGGAGCCACACCCCCAACTCAAATGTGTATTTTTATGGTCACTTAAAAGTGTGATTGCATCGGTATGTGAACAGGGTACAGCTTGGTCATGTCCTTTTAGGATTAGAACACCACACACACACACACACACACACACACACACACACACACCTGCCCATCTTTTGGTCTGAAGTGACGAGGCGGCTTCTGACGGGCAGTGGGCAGATTAGGTTTGGAAAGCCACTTTACCCTTGGAAGAGTCTTTGCACCCCACCTCCTGCAGGGGCTCATCCATTACCACCGATTCCATGGCACGCTTTCTTTCACAGAGGGCGGGGTACTTTGTAAGAACAAGAATGGCAGGTGCCTACCAGCATCGCCTTGCTGCATAATTGCTGCTGTTAACCCACCCCTCGGAGGCGCAGTGTGCCAGGGCTCCTCACCTGGACGTTTTAGCCCCGAGGTCATCCTGGAGACCGCCTGCCAAGCCTGCCTTGTGTTTGCTCTGTCGGCCATCTCTTTCCTTTCCTTCTCCCTCTTTTTTTCGGGTGTGTATGTACAAGTGGCCATGAGTGAAGTGTGCAGACTAGAGTCCTTCTGTCACTGGATCTGGAGCTACACACGCCGAGGGGATCCTCCTGCCTCTGTCTCCCAGAACTTCATGCCACCACACACAACTTTTTACATCGGCGCTGGGGACCAGTAAGCATTTTACCCAATGAGCCATCTCCCCAGCCCCCCCCCCAACTGCCTACTCTTCTAATATGTTTAGAGGTCTAACTGGTCAGGGGACATGAACCTCCAGCCTGCCCTGAGGTGCCCGTGGCACCTTCCTCAAAGGCACAGGAAGCTTGGCTTTTTAGATTAACCCAGGTGCCTCCCACTGCCTCTTGAAGTCCCGTGCTTCCGGGCACCTCTACTGTCTGCGATGGGCAGGTGGACTGACTGGAAACGAAACAGACAGTGGGCAAAGCACTCGGGTCTGAGAGGAGGGATCAGTTGTGAAATGAAGGATTGTGGGAGTCAGAGCCAGCCTCTCACTCTTTCTCAAGCGTAAGCCGGGAGAAGGAAGACACAACAGAACTCCTGAGGGGACGGAGCTTTCTAGACAGTAGATTACAAAGAAGCAAAGAGGTTTGACATTTATTGGTCTAGTATGTGGCATTCAAAGAAAGGGACGTAGGCAGGTGTTAAGAGAGCCATTGGCAAGGTGTGTGGCTTCAATTCATTAATTATACAATCTCTCTCTCTCTCTCTCTCTCTCTCTCTCTCACACACACACACACACACACTGACAGAGACTGATAACAGCTGCCTTCTCTGATCGTTAACGTTACTGTTTTTTAAAGATTAATTAAGTTAGCCTGTGTGCTGTGAAGGTGTGTATGATGTTGCAGAGGGTGTCACTTGTCCAGCTCTCTCACTGTCTGATCTTGGCTCTAGGTTGGTGGTCTACAAGCTCGAGTGATCCTCCTGTCTCCAGCCCCCCCCCCACAACTGGAGTTACAGGAGCGCATGACCATGCTTGCCTAATTACTTGGTGCTGGGGATTTGAACTCAGGTGCATTTACCCACTGAGTCATCTCCCCAGTCCTTCAACCTTATCTTCTGAGACAGGGTCTCTCATTGAACTTGGTTTCTGGCTCGCCAGGGGATCCAGGGATCCTATCTCTGCCACCCCACCTTCATACTGGATTACAAGTGGTGCCATCCCACCTGGCTTTTATGGGAGTGGTGGGGATGTAAACTTGGGTCTTCTTGTGTGGCAACTACTTTGTTGACTGAACCATTTCCCCAACTGCAATTAGAACTTAAGGAAAAAAAATCACCCGCAAATCACATTATTGTTTCTCTGTTCTAAACATAGGAATGGCCCTGTGAGCACCCCCTGCCCCGTCTAGAGCATGTACTACCAAAGCATTGCCAATAGGGGGCGACATAGGGAAACGATTTGGGGGAAAGGTTAGCCTCTTTCAGGCTTGGATCCTGGAGGGTGTGTGTAGTGTGTGGGAAGAGATGTTGCTCGGCCTTGCTGTGTGCCTGGAGGGCGGTTACTCACTGACCTTGCAGACCTGGCAGCGGTCCCAGGAACCACTTCGCTCTGGCCCTCCTGATGCAGGCTGTGTGCATTTCAGCCTTGCATGGGGAGTGTGTGCCAACTCCCTTGGCACACCTGGCCTCTACCCTCACCTTGCCTGTGTCCCAGAAAACTTTCTGTTGTTCAGCACCTGGCAGCCAGCTGAGGAACTCCTCTGCCATCTTGGGGGTGTTAGAACGTGACACCTTAGCCATGGGGAGAGAGCCCTTTCAAAGTTTGTCCTTCTGTGGGCATTTCTTTCTCAGCTCAAGAGTAACCTTTGCGTTCTCAACCCATCTTGGTAGCTGCTTCCACCGCATATTAATAACTAACTGCTGATATTACATTCCTCCTGTTCAGAGTAACTGCTTTCTGCCTTCTGCCTGGACCCCAGCCGATAAACTCATTGCATGCAGGTGCTGAGTCTGGCTTTGAGGACTCCAGGGACAGCGAGGACTGGAATCCTGCTCTTGAGAAGTTACTAAGGCTACTCCCCAAAACACAAGGCAGAATAAAGCCTGTGCTATAGAAGAAGGAAATGAACAGACTGTAAACCCAGGGAGAGGAGGCGAGAATAAAATCTATTACTATTCCCAGTTTTCAGGTAAGAGAAACCTACGCTCGAAAGTGTAAGGCCATATAGTCAGTCCTCAGTGAAGTTCAGACTGGAGGGCATGGCTCTGGCTCAACAGCTAGGCTCCCCCATGATGATGTCTGCCTCTTCATAGTCATCTGAAAAGACAGTCACCAGCCAAAGTGCTTCCTGCTTCTTTCTAGAAAGATGACCCTGGAATCTGGCTCTCCTCTGGCTACTCATAAGACATATGTTGTGACAGCCACCACTGAGCATGCCCTGAAGGCTTCCTGTCCATTCGTCCTCGGTGGCTCAGGGGTTCTATTAGGAGTGACTGTTGTACAATCTCTGGACTCCTTTGCTAATAAGATGCTTCATTAGTGCCAAAGCCCCTGAGACAGCAAGTGTGGGGAAGTCTGCATGCCTTCAGCTTTGCAGTCTATACTTCCAGGTAGGTTTCCGGTGCCTGAACACAGGAAGTCATGCCTGGTCAACATCTTCACGTGTGAGATGACAAAGAGCCAAAGTTTCCAAGGAATGTACATTGTCTAGTGTTTGAGGTTTTTAGGAGAAGCTCCTATGGACTCAGTAAGTCTAAAGATCGAGTTAGAGGGCACCTTTGGCCCCTACATGAATACCTGCACACACGTGTGTATACACACCAACATGCACACACAAAACATACATGAGACACTTTGGGAACTGTACAGTTTGAGAATTTGTCTTAAGGGAAGAGCCGTTAACAGAGCTGAAAAGATTTGTATACAGAGATTTTCAACAATGTAATCGCAGGGGGCAATGGGGAGAAAGAAGCTGGGGGGATGGGATAGGGGGGTGGGCTCAAGCTTGCATATCTCACTGTGGGAGAATGGCCAAGGAAATGAGGATGAACCTGTGTGGTGGACTATTTTGTGTCACATGGTACTGACTGAGGAGGGTGTTCTGGATTTCTTTCTATTGATGTTTGTCCATACCTATGGAATGTGTCCTGTCCCCAAGAGTCTAGATTTCTTCTTGAACAGGGCCATCTTCCTAGATTTTTACACCTTCTTGATTTATTTATAGGCCTTGATTTTTTTTTTTGAGGGGGGAGGGCAGTGTGGTTGCAGACTATTGGAAATGGCTCATAAACCCTTGGCTGTCCTGGAACTCGCTCTATAGACCAGGATGGCCTCAAACTCACAGAGATCCATCTGCCTCTGTCTCCCAAATGCTGGGATTAAAGGCTTGTAGTACCACTGCCTGGCCGCTAGCATGCTTTCTTAACATGCATGAGACCCTGAGTTTCATCTCCACTCCCCAAAGGGAGGAACTCTTTCTC